CTTCTGCTGGCCCCCCTTCCCGTGCTTTCTGCGCAACGCAAGGAGGGCAGAAAGCCCATCTCAGTGCAGCAGTGGGCACCAGGGAAAGGGCCTCCAGGGCTTCTTCTGGGTGCGCGTGGCCCCAGCCCCTGCTCCCAGCCCCTGCCTGACCGGTGCTGCTGTGCGGAGTGTCCCTGGCAGAGGGGAGCAGCCCTCCGTGCTGGCTCGGGTTTGCTCTTCCCTGTGCCAGCGTCAGCAGCAGCCCGAGTGAGTGCCAGCACTCCCTGGGGGTTGCTGCTTTTGGCTGTTGCTTTGCCCAGCGGCCCTCCAGGCCTTTGAAGCACTGCACAAGGCTTCTGTGCAGAGACAAGCCCCGCACAGGCTGGTAGTCAAAAGCATGTGACAGCGCGTGGGGGCTTTGCTTCTCACAGAAGCCAGGCCTGCCTCAGCACAGTGCTCCGCAGGTCCCACTGGTGCTTCTGCTCCGGTCTCTGCCTCATGCTGAGATGTCCTAGTGCACGCAGCAAGTCTAGCTCAGAGAGCCAAGGGTGCTTGCCTCTGGCAGGTCTGGCTCAGCGTGTCAGGGACAGGGACAAACACACTGCCCTGAACGTGCTCAATCTTTAGCTGTTACTTCCTCCTGCCTGTGAGCTATTTCTTTGTCTTTTCTCCCCCGTATTTAGCATGCAAACCATAGAAAAGTTAATTTCTCACTGAGCTTTCCCATTCCCTCCCCTCTCTCCAGAGAGTCTTGACAGCTGTGAAAGGAGTGCAGTGGGAGGATGGAGAGCAAGCCAGCAGTGAATGGCCATGCTGCCCCCGTCCCTCACCAGGAAGACATGCCAGGAGCAAACCACTCGTGCCAGGACATACTGCCTTGCAAGCAGAAAAAAGCAGCTGATGGGGATGTGATGGTGATGAATGCTTCTAGTGAGCCCTTAGAGGCAGCTGGTGGCATTGCAGGAGTGTATGTAGAGGCTTCAAAGAAGATAATGAGCTTTTATGAAGCCACCAGAGAGCATCTTCTGAGTTTGGATTCAGCACTTTGTCTTCTCGAGGCTCAGGCAGCCACGGGCTTCATCACTGACCCAGTGAAGAACAGGCATTTCTCTGTAGCAGAAGCTGTGCAGCTGGGGCTGGTGGGGCTGGAGCTGAAGGAGAGGCTGCTCTCTGCAGAGAAAGCTGCTACTGGCTTTTTGGACCCCTACACAGAAGAGAAAATCTCCCTCTACCAGGCGATCCAGAAGGACCTGATTGGGAGGGAGCAAGGTATTCGGCTGCTAGAGGCCCAGATTGCAACTGGAGGCGTCATTGACCCAGCCACTGGCTGCCGGCTCCCAGCAGATGTTGCCTGTGAGAGGGGATTTTTAGATGAAGAGATGAGGCAGCTCCTCTCTGACCCCAGCAATGAGGACAGAAAAGGGTTCCTCAACCCCAGTACTATGGAGAGGGTCACTTATACAGAGCTTATAAAGAGGTGTGTTGTTGATCCGGCCTTGGGCTTCCTTCTCTTGCCCCTGAAAATCACATTCCCAGGGCTGGGAGGGAGGGTGAGCAGCAGGGATCTGCTGGACTGTGGCATCATCAACCCTGACATGTTCAGAGATCTTGAAGAGGGAAGAGTTTCTGCCCAGGAGGTAGCAGAGAATGACTCCATTCAGCAGTTCCTGCATGGGACAAGGAGTGTGGCTGGTGTTGTCCTGCCTTCCAGTGAACGGAAAAGCCTTTACCAGGCACTGAGAGAGCATCTCCTCATGCCTGGTGCTGCTCTGATGCTCCTGCAAGTCCAGGCCTCCACTGGCAGCCTGACAGACCCTATACAGAACAAAAGCTACTCAGTTGATGAAGCTGTCAGGATCGGTCTCATCGGCCCGGAGCTTCATGAGAAACTGTCTTCAGCTGAGAGGACCATCACTGGATACAGGGACCCCTACACGGGAGAAATGCTCTCTCTGTTCCAAGCCATCAGGAAGGGCTTTATTCCCAAGGATCATGGCATTTGCCTTCTGGAGGCTCAGATGGCCACAGGGGGTATAATTGCTCCAGGCAGGCACCTTCGGGTCCCCACAGAGACAGCTTGCAAGTGGGGGTACCTAGACGAGGCCACAAGACAGCTCCTCTCCAGCCCTACTGATGACATGAAAGGGTTCTTCGACCCCAGCTCCAAAGAGAAGCTGATCTACGCAGACCTGCTCAAGCGGTGTGTCACTGATCCCAACACGGGGCTCCTTCTGTTGCCACTTGGTGGAGACAGCAGCGAAGGATGCGAGGGAAACCACCTCTTCTTTGACCATAGGACCCAAACAGCTCTGGAAAACATACAGGTACCCATTGCTTTAGGTAAATTCAAGGGAAAGTCGGTGTCCCTCTGGAAACTCCTCTTCTCAGACTACATCCAGAGTGAGCAAAGAGCTGCTCTCACTCAGCAGTACCTTGCAGGAACACTCTCTACGCAAGAATTCAGTAAGGCAGTCAGTGCCACCATTGAGGAAATGGCTTCCACTGCTAATGTCACCTTTGAAGGACTGAGGGACCGGGTGACAGCTGACCAGCTCCTGAGCTCTGAAATCATCAACAAAGATTTGTTTAAGAAACTGAAGGAGGGAGAAACATCAGCCAAAGAAGTTGTCAGCATGGACACTGTCAAGAAGTACCTGCAAGGGACAGGTAGCATTGGTGGGCTCCTGCTTCCTGACTCCCAGGAGAAGATCAGCATCTACCAAGCAAAGCGGAAAGGACTTTTAAGGCCAGGAACGTCACTGATCCTCCTGGAGGCACAGGCTGCTACTGGATTTATCATTGACCCAGCTGCCAACAAAAGGTATTCTGTGGATGAGGCGTTAAGAGTGAATGTCATTGGCCCAGATGTTTATGACAAGCTCCTGACTGCAGAGAAATCAGTCACTGGCTACAGAGATCCTTACTCAGGGAACAAGATCTCCCTCTTCCAGGCCATGAAGAAGGAGCTCATCGTCAAGGAGCACGCTATCCGCCTGCTCGAGGCCCAGATCGCCACCGGCGGCATCATCGACCCTGTCAACAGCCACCGCATCCCTGTGGAGGTGGCCTACCGGCGTGGCTACTTTGACAAGAAGATGAACTTAATTCTTTCTGATCCCAGTGATGACACCAAAGGTTTCTTTGACCCCAACACACATGAAAACCTCACCTACCTGCAGCTGAAGGAGAAGTGCATTACAGAGCCATCCACCGGGCTCTGCCTCCTTCCTCTAAACAGTAGGAAGCGCCAGTTCGTTGATGATGTCACCAGACGGCTGTTTAGGAGCTCCTGGCTGCCGGTCAGGTTTGGGAGGTTACGGGGGGAGAAGGTCTCTGTGGGGGACCTGCTGAA